CATCAGCTTCAAATAGATTAGGCAATAAACTATTAAGATGAATGAATTTCATGTAATTTGTGGAAGTTCACTTCAGTGTGTTGGTTTTACATTTGTCTTGAAATGTGTTGAAACTTTTAGTATTAAATTTTCAGTCCCAAAACCTTGATGGAAAGGGCGAATGTGTTTTTTTAATTGTGACATATTTTCTAGTTTTCCCCAAATCCCTCCAAACCTCGTGCTTCACTTTTTTGACCATGCAGATGCCCAGTGCTTTGCACCACCACCATTCAATAGTAATGAGCAAGAGAAGAAATAATCATTGCATGTGAAAATTATCTTGCCAATCTTCTTTGCATACAGGTGGGAGTGAAAACAAAGTTCTCTTCAGGTGAAGTGTGATCAGACTACTTTATTGACTGTAAGGTGCAAGCATAATAAATTCCTGTTTTGAAGTCATGTGTTGTCAGTTTTTCTGCTACTTGTATTGTAATTACACTCTCCTACCCGTAGCGCTTCATTGCATGCACAGAAGCCAAATGATTCTGGTATCCAGTATACTTAGTAATTCCTATGCCCACATCATAATGGAAACTACGTTGTTTGGGGGTGCATATAGTCTATAAAAGTTTGATCGCAAATTAGAAATTGTATTTGTCAAAAAGTGACTACATTTTAAGTGACTGCATTTTTTCATGTTTTTTTAGTATTGTTATGAGCTGAGTGAAAGGTTGAAGACATGCTTCAGCTTCAGAAATATTCATGCTAATGTAAAATTGAGAATTTGGTTTTTTTAAATAGTGGTACCAAGGGACCAAGTACCTTGTGTTTTCCTTTGTCTCTCTTGAAACCTCTCATGGAATTCCACTGTTGGTTGCCCTTAAGTACTTGTCCTGTCCACCATTAATCTGACAATTAAGATGCAATGTGTTCTGGAATTATTCAACACCTCTCTGAAATCAATTTGTCACTAGGTGTGTCTTTAAAAACTTTCAAAAAATGGACCAGATGTGAAAACCACGGCTGTTTTTAATTCAACTCTTCTTCATTTCCAATTGCAGTACTCAATTGGCATCCCTCCAGCCTCCACTTGAGTAAGAACATTGTAGAGTACAAATTGATCTCGGTGCTATCTGTTTGATATGGTTCATTCAATGCATTTCTTAACCCTTTGTACTTGGGTCTTGACATATTTCTAGAAGTGTTTGGTAATAGTTACTGAGTTGGACCTTGGATTTTGTCAAAAGATAACTCTATTTCCTGCATTTTTTTTGCAACTTAAGCAGTTAAGGCCAACATGGATTCTTGGACTATATATGGTATTTTGCTGAATTGAGTTTTCCTTTAGTTAACATCAGGGTTTCTCCATATCTTAAAAACAATTGGTAGGCTGTGAGGTTTGAATTAAATAAAATCTGGAATATGAAACCAGCCTTCTGGTGACCATGTAACCACTGTAAATTGTTTTGTAAAAATTTATGGATATCTAAGCAGATTAGCTGAGTGGTTGTCAGTGAAGGAGGTCTTGGCTTACAGGAGGATTTCGATGGATTGGTCAGATGGGCAGATCAGTAGCTGATGGAATTTAACTCTGGAACTCTGTCCACAGATCCCCGAAAGTGGCAGAACAGGTTAATAGGGTGGTTAAAGCGAAATACTGAACACTTGCCTTCATCAGTCATGGCATAGCTTATAAAACCAGGAAGTTTATCATGGAGCTGTATGCAGTTCTAATCTCGTCACTGTACTATAGCAAGGATGTGATTGCTCTGGGAGAGGGGAGATGGTTGCAAAGGAGATTTAACAGGATGTTGCCCAGTTCAGAGCAGCTTAGCTCTGAAGGGAGGTTGGTTAAGCATGGGTTGGTTTTTTTGGAGCAGAGAAAGCCGAGAGGGGACCTGTTTGAGGTGTATGAAGTCATGGAAAGGATGGGTAACAAAGGAATATAATTTGAGTCCTAGAGTTGTACAACGTGGAAAGTAACTCTTTGGTCCAACTAAAACTCATCTTGTCCCATGTGCCTGCATTTGGTGAACATCCCTCTAAACTCTTCACAGATGCTGCCAGATCTGCTGAGCTTTTCCAGCAATTTCTGTTTTTGTTCCTGATTTACAACATCTGTAGTTTTTTTTTTTTATCAAGTGTACCAAACACCACCTTCACTACACTATCTACTTGTAACTCCATCTTCAAGGACCTATGAACCTGCACACCAAGGACTCTTTGTTGGCAACACTCCCCAGGACCTAAAACTTATAGGGGATTTGAGAGGGAGATAAGTTTCACCCGAAAGATGGTGGGAATTGCAATACCACAAGGAAACATGAATTTATTAAAAGTACTTGGATGAACATTTGGAATGTCGCAACATTTGAGGCTCTTGGCCAAGTGCTGGAAAGTGGAGCTAGTGTAGATTTAGAGTAATTTTTTGGTGCAGAATTGATGAACTGAAGGATCTCCTCTGTACTGTGTGATCCTGATGTTGCAAACTTCGCTGTTTTATTTTTCCCATTTTTGGTTGGAACAGAAACTGAATTGAATGTGACCTTTGGATTGTGATCAGCAGCTTGGTGTCTAAAGAGCAGTAGATGTTTTGTCTTCAGAGGTGCATTTATGCTCATTACTAGGCAGATGTTTGGATGCTAAAAAGGGCCATCATGGCGAGGTTGGTGCTGACCCATCTACCAAAGCATATTGGAAAAACAGAAACATAAGTTTGAGCTATGCTTTAGTCAAAGGCATGGCTGCAAAAGCTACAGATGGAGCTTGGGTAGTTCTTTTGTTATCCTCCCGTTATCGTATTGAAAGTTTTTAAATTTATAACCCCAGTTATAAGAATTGGACGAATATTCCTTGGAGCCTACTGCAAGGTGTCTTCAGAAATCAAACAGGATACAATCCCATTTGCCTGTGATATTATTCTGATGATACAATGGCTTTCAGGTGTATTTTGTCCTGGTTTTTTTCTGGAGAGAGATTTTAATTAAATAGGTACCAAGCTGTTGTCTCCAAGCTAATAAACAGCTTGTGAGGCCTTGGATATTTTTTAAAATAAGGTCGGAAAAAAGAAGCAGCATGAATGGTTGTAGTCAAGCTCTCACAGAACTAGGATTAGAGCAGTTATTGGGGTCTTGTTATTCCTCTCTCTACAGCTGAAAGCTGGAATTCTCTCAGATTGCCTCACATGCAATTCTCAATTTTACTGAATTTGCTTTTGCCAAGAGTGTGTTTATGGGATGTTACTAATTGGAACAGTTACTGTTTAGTAGTTAGATAATCTATTATTCTGTTAAGTTTTTGAATTAATTATAGTATTCTTATGTTTGTACTTTGACTGTTGTGTAAGAATAACGTGGAACACAGCACCTTACATTTGCCTTGCACTGAAGAAAAATGGTTAGGGTTTAAGCTACCCCTTGATATATTTGAAGGGGGTTTGGTCTGATCCATAACAATATAGATCATCGAAACTGCTTAAGTAAACTGGCCAGTTACATGTTTTATTTTACTTTTAAATTATCCCTTAACTGTGTCTGTCTGAGAGAGCATGGGGCTTCTAATCAAAGAAGATCGAGTTGAAATCATAGTCATTAAATAACTTCATTTGACTTTGCAAAACTGCTGTACTTATAAATGGTTAACTTTCTTGTTTAAGCTGTAAGCTTTGGTGTCTGATATCAGTTATATATAAAATCTGATTAGGTCAGTTTTGAGGATCGTTGAATATTTTAATAGGAAAGCTAGTATAGTTTGGCTTGCTGTCCACGTTTGAGAAAACGATTGTGAGATTTTCACCTTGCTAATATCAACTGAGAAAATAGTAATACAGTTAGTTAATTTTAAGATCTAGAACTGATGTCATGCAGCCCAATAGCAAATGATGGATGAATGGGGTTATCTGATAATTATCCCAATCATTCATCACTTGCTATTAAGTTAGAGGGCATAAGGTTGAGATCTTAACTTTATACTGTCTAATTCCAAGTATTACATGTGTTCGTAGTCTGAAAATCAGGCATGGGCTATGTATTAATCAAGTTGAATCTACAGGAATTTGAGTTTTATGACACTTTCAGTATGAGAGGAGACTATCCTGTACTTGAAATGGTACATATCAGCTTTGCCCATATCCGTATATTGCCTTCAACTTCAACTATTAAACAACTTTATCGCTTAAGATATAATTGCTTCAGTTTCAACATTCTGGCTGATAATGTAGGTGGGGTTAACTATCTCTGTTTCAGCGTATCAATTCAGAAAATTTCTCCAAATTCAGATCTGCTCACTCCATTATCTATAATCTCTCTAAATTTGTGGAATCTTTATTAGTTTGCAAATTTTCTTTTTTGCAACTTCACGCCATTTTCCCAGTTTTATTTCTTGTACATAGAACATAGAACATTACAGCGCAGTACAGGCCCTTTGGCCCTCGATGTTGCGCTGACCTGTGAAACCAATCTGAAGCCCATCTAACCTAAACTATTCCATTATCATCCATATGTTTATCCAATGACCATTTAAATGCCCTTAAAGTTGGCGAGTCGACTACTTTTGCAGGCAGGGCATTCCACTATCCATTGTTTTTTGTCTTTGTGTGATCCTTAACTTCTTAGAAATTTCTGTCAGAAATATATTTCTTTGTTGAAATTCTTTGGTCATTTACAGTGAATCCAGCCTGTGTTTTCCACTGCTTTCATCTTGGTCCTGCAAGGCGTTATCTGTAATTGCTTACAATTCTTCAAATGTGGTCTCACTGTTTGCATGAGTTTGTCATTACCCCTTTGCCTTGGTTTCTATGCTTTTAGGTACAAGACCAATGATTCAGGCATTTATGCTACATCCTAATGACCATTGTGTCTACAAGTGTTCTTGCTGTTCTATTCATAAAATGTTGCCAGTCAGACGTCTTTATTTTCCCTTATAAAATAGTGAACATTTGTATTATGGGAATGAAAATTCTTCCAATAAACATGGTTCTAGCTACTGTTCCAAACAAATAATTCTCAGCTTCTGTCCTTCAGGGCCAGATGCTACAGATGCCAGCATGGAAATCTCGGAGCCAACTGGTAAGAAGCTTTGAATAACATTTCGATCTTGAACATAATGGTGATGCACGTTGGCAGATTATATTGGTTACTGACAATTTGTCTATATTTTGAACTTGAGATGCATTTTGAGCACTTGGCTTATTTAACCACTAAAGCAGCTGGAATATTTTCTTAATTATACTGTTTGCAAATTTGTATCTGCATTGACATACACATTATTTATTTTCAGTTTAAAGTATGGTATAATTCTTTTGGACAAAATTAACTCAACACCCTTTTCAGTTTGTGTTCGTGCAGAGCATGATCTTGTGATTCCACGCCAGATTTTAGGTTTGATGAATAGATTTAATTTAGTCCATTGACGACTTTTGGATTTGGTTTCTCTTCAACTGATGGTTCAGTGTCTGAGCAATAGCTAAATTTTAACTAGTTGCTTTAATGGCCAACTACTGAGAACCTAACCGTACATATCTTACAGCACCAGTAGAAAATGGCGATACAGAAGCTGGATCTGAAGAATCATGGGAACAAAAAGCAGAGCCAAGTGAAGCAGAGCCAGGAGGTGGTCCTGCTGGTGATGGGGGTCCGCCTTTGGTAACTCCAGTCGGAATGGAAGAGGACGAAGATGTGTCTATGCCCACAGTTGCAGTGGTGGTAGAACCAGGTGCTCCAAGGAAGGAACATGTAAATGTTGTATTCATTGGTCATGTAGGTAGGTTACCAGATAAAATGGTATGGCTGTGTGCCTCATTTAAAACTCCAATCTTATAAACTGTCGATCTCGCTTAAAATGTTGCATTTATTTCTGGCAATAGAACTTTGTTAAATGAAATCTTCTTGTGATTAACTAATTTACAAAAGCTAATACTTATTTGCATTTCTTTGTGCAGTAACGCTTTTTCTTCCCCTTAGATGCTGGAAAATCCACTATTGGTGGCCAGATAATGTAAGTTACAACTCTATTCTTGATATGTAGAGCTAAAGCGAGGGAAAATATTATTGTAATCGAAGTTCCCAATTTATTTGATAATAACTAAATAGCCTGCAATACTGAGCCATTCTTTGTCATTTGTATGTGAGTGCTTCATTTAAGCCCTGCCCCTATCATTTCAGTCAGCAGTGTATGAACTTGAGACCCACACCAGGATTTGAGTTGATAATTTGTGTTGAGGCTCTGATTCTTTATTGCACTTGTATTTGGTACTGTTTGAAAGGAAATTTGGTAAAATCTGTTTTATTACTGTTGTAATGCTTCATATCATGGCTAGTTACTTAGCCTTTATCATGTTGATTCTGTTCCAGAAGTAGTTTAATCTGATTTGAAGCACTTTAAGGTCATGAGACTTTAATTTTTTTTGCAACCTGAAGTTTGGTTCAGTTCTGTTTATTGCAATGATTCCTCTAATAATACGATTGTCCTGTTTGATCCTTCATTTTCATTGTCATGTTTTTCAAACTGAAAAGTTTAAAATGCGAATAGTCTTGATTTGGTCTAGAGGTACAACAATATTATTTTGATAACATTGCTTCATTTGTGGGTTTGAGACTATTAAAAATCTTGTGAACCTCTGAAAATTAAGATCTGTCTCTTCAGCTATCTGAGGAATTACGATCAACTGAATCAGACGTGTCGTGTTTATCACAGCAGAACTTTTTGGGCTTACTGTTTCAAAGAAAACTTGTTTCTTTAAGTGATTAGCACAATGAAATCAAATTGATAAGCCATCTTTTGACCATTTGAAGTGAGTGCAAAAAGATTCCACATTTTGTACACTGTTTTATGCTAAGAACCTTTTAAAATGTTTGGGCATTTGTATGTCCCCTTGTATATACTGTATGTTATATTTTGTCAAATACTCCGTAATAGCTCATGGGACAAGTTTAGCTCAGCCTTCAAGATGACCTGCACCAAAGTTGAAATTAAAAGAATGTTTAATCTGAACAAAGTATTTACCAAAACGTGAGTGCCAATTTGTTCATCGTTTGGTAATTTCTTCAAGGTACCTCACAGGTATGGTTGACAAACGAACACTGGAGAAGTATGAGAGGGAGGCCAAGGAAAAAAATAGAGAAACATGGTAAGATTATGTTTATATTTTGAAATCATCATCAAAACTTCTAAACGAAACTCTTACTTTTGGAATCTCTTTCTTATTTTTAACCTTTTTATAATTTTTAAAATTATCTTGACTTCCCAATAATTGAAAGTTCGTCCATTGGCTGTCTTAAAGATGAGGAGTTCCTTGAATTGGAGAAGTAGAATGTGTTAATTTAGCTGATTTCAACTTGATGCTCCAGTCAGGATAATTTTGTGAAGCACCTCCAACCAGCAAAGAAATTGGTTAAAGTAATGCACCTACAATCCCTGTTTCAAGTGTGCTGATCATGTGGTTGAGCAGGCCCTCCTGTCTATCTTCCTTTTATCAAGTTGGCTGCCATATTTCATTGAGTTTGCATCGTTATGGCAACTTGGCTGAGTTTGCAGAGGGTAGCTGGCATTGAGGAATCAGTGCTCCCTCTGGAGAGGGGGCAGGAGACTAAGGTTAGAGACCATAGACAATGTAGAACAGAACAGCAAAGAAACGGGTCCTCCGGCCCACAATGTTGTGCCGAACATGACGCCAAATTAATACATTCTGCCTGTCCTTGGTCCATGTCCCTCCATTCCTCACACATTTGTGTGCTGACCTAAAAGTCCCTTAAACACCCTATTGTCCCTGCCTCCTCCTCCTCCCCTGGCAGCAAGTTCCAGACTCCTACCACTGTTTTAAAAACAAATTGCCCCTAACATCTCCTTTGAACTTGCACCCTCAATTTAAATGCGTGCGCCCGAGTAATAGGCATTTCATTCTGAGAAAAAGATTCTGACTGTCAACCCTATCTATGTATCTCATAATTTTGAGACTTCTGTCAAGTCTCCCCTCAGCCTCCATTGGTCCAGAGAAAACAACCCGAGTTTTTCTAGCCTCTCCTTATGGCTCCTACCCACTAATCCAGGAAGCATCCTGGTAAACCTCTTCTGCACCCTCTCCAAAGTCCTCTACCTCTTTGCTGTAAAGTAGTGACCAGAATTGAATGCAGCACCCTAAGTATGGCCTAATCAAAATCATATAAAGCTGGAATATGACACCTTGGCTCTTGTACTCCGTTCCCTGATTAGTAAAGGCAAGCATGCCATACACTACCTTTCCCGCCCTATCTACTTCTGTGGTCAGCTTCAGGGAAAGGAAAGGTAAGGTTCGGAAGTTGGTGGGGAGAGTAAATAACTGTTTTTGAATTTAGTTGAATTATTGGCCTGAGGGGGCAATGCACATTGCAATTTGAGTAACTCCCCAACTCCTGTTTAATTGTTAGTTTTTTGGTTACCTGCTGAGAATGTGCTGTTGGTGAACTGTATTGAAATGGCTTTCTTAAACAATTTGAAAATTCCATATGTTAATGCTCTTATTCATCCAACAAGCTAATTTGAATGGCATAATTTTTTTTTCCTGTTTGCAGCATGTCACAAAACTCTTTTTATTTTTAGGTATCTTTCCTGGGCCTTGGACACTAATCAGGAGGAGAGAGACAAGGGCAAAACAGTAGAAGTGGGCCGTGCATATTTTGAAACACAGAAGAAGCACTTCACCATTTTAGATGCCCCAGGTCACAAAAGCTTTGTACCGAATATGATTGGTGGGGCATCTCAAGCTGACCTTGCTGTCTTGGTAAGAGCTCAACTTTTCTGGTTATTGGGGTACTGAGGTTAATCTTCAGATTTGTGAAATTGTCAGAAAAGAGACAATAGTGAAATAAATCCAGGAAATGCTGATTAGAAATTGACAATGCTGATTATATAGGAAGAAACAGTTGAATGTTTCAGACTGATGACCTGCTTTTATAGTTGTCAGCATTAAAATGCTGCCGGACTACTTGAATACCTTCAACATTTCCTGTTCTTATTATTCATGCTATTTTGCTTTTGAGAAAGAAGAATGATCATTTTCTATGTAATATAAAACATGGGCAATTAATTCATGTTTATTCCAGTGTAGCTTTTAGCACTAGAAAAATAATACGTAATTTTAAACAACTTTTGCCGTAGCAATGCCATTTTGTTTTGGTTTAGATACATGTCTTAAGTCTGTTTCTCAGTTAAGTGTAACTTGTGTGTTCTGTGAAGGAAATTTTAAACTGCAGGTCAAGTTAAGCTTGTAATTTTGAATCAGTTCAAGATCTGAGTGTCTTTCTCTACCTTGTCATTCACGCGTTTTCTTGGGGAGGGAGGTTATAGGGGAATGTAAGGCCAGCCTTTGGGGATTTCTTTCGGCTATTCAAATGTACCCCTGCTATTTAAATGTACCCCTGCTATTTATGGTCTTTGTGCAGTAATTATGTGGCCATTTTTAACTACAGAAAAGTCCCCATGATTTCCCACTTTCTAACATGTTTCTTGTTCAGGTTATTTCAGCCAGGAAAGGTGAATTTGAAACTGGCTTTGAGAAAGGAGGTCAAACACGAGAACATGCTATGTTAGCGAAAACAGCAGGAGTGAAACATCTGATAGTTCTTATCAACAAGATGGATGATCCAACAGTAGCCTGGAGCCAAGATAGGTATGATTCTATATTAGACTGTGCATGTTTTGGATATTTTTAAAAATGGAGATTGCGAGCAAAATTTGACGTGACAGTATTAGCGTTAATTTGGTGAAACAAAAGCACATGATTAGTACTGAATAATGAAAAATGTTTATAATTGTTTCTGGTGTAGTTGTCATATTACAGGAGCAATTTGAGATCTGCTTTGCTTTTGTTCAGTTTTGTTACCTACTTAGACTCATTGATGAAATGAAAGTCTTCTCTGGCACTGGTCCTTGATAAAATGAGTTTGTACAACATTGGCAACCACGGCAGTAGGAAATAAAAGAAGTGAAAGACAATTCCAAATTTATTTCACTCAATCTGCGTGATGGCACATGGACAAAAGAAAAGGAAAAGGTTTTATACATCAGTGAGAGTGTAATTTTTAACTCAAAACTGAGGCACGTTTTTGCTTCAGAACAGTTGGGGACCTTCATCAAATTCTTTTATCTGCTGTGCTTTTCCAGGCCTTGAGGTTATTGTTGGCTCTGTGTGCCAGAAATGAGTAACATTGTTTCTTCAACAGTCTTCACCCTTTAACACTGGAACATTTCTATTGAAGTGACAGCGTGTTGGCTTAACAGCGCAATGTAGAGTGCTTTTCTTTGTAAATGCATGTTCTAGTTACTGATCGTTTTTGTTCTGAGTAATGACTGACTCTCTATGGGGGGGGGATAAATTAAAATTGAGCAAGATGACCAGAGTTAGAGTATTTTCCAGTACTTAAATGAATCAGACATTTGGGAGCATGATTTTTGTTGCCAGGATGTAATAGATAACTAATCTAAGGGAAGGAATGCAAACATTTACATTTCTTCCTAATTTTTTGCTTTTAGCTTCAGGTGTAATTTGCTCTCCATGACTTTAATTGACCAATGAAATTTTGAAATTAGTTCCAGTGCCTAATACTGAGTACCTGATTCTGGTCTTGCTATCCCTTCTGGCGTCCTTAAGAGTGAATCACCCAAGTATTGATGATCAAGTCATGAACTTCTTCCTCCTTGTCTGAAGTAGTTTCTGTTCTACGTCCTCTGACTTCATGCTGTCCATGAGATCCACAGAATCCATAAGGACTGAACTGCTGGCTAGCTAATATTAACTGTTCTCTGGCTTCATGTGCTTTGTCACCCGATCCACTGAAACTGCCCTCATTGCATGGTGCTGCCATCTCCCTACCCTGAGAAACCCTTCATTTTTAAAAATTACTGGGACAGGTATGTGCTTACTATGAAATGTTAGAACTTTTGTTTGCTTGACCTGCAGCTTTTGAGATTGATCATGCCACACTCCCGTCATCTGACAGGTTGAAACTGCCCTCATCCTTTTATTTATCCGGAGTAGCCAAAGAATGGTCTTTGGCTTATTTCATGTTATTTCTGGTGCCCTGTCATAGAGTAATACAGCATGGAAACAGGCCCTTTGGCCGAAACTGGTCCATGCTGACTATGGTGCCCACTCAGCTCGTTCCAATTGTCTACATTTGGTCCACATCGCTCTAAACTCTTCCCATCCATGTACCTATCAAAATGCTTTTTAAATGTTGCTATTGTACCTGCCTCAACCACTTTCTGTGGCAGCCCATTCCATATGCGCACCACTCTGCGTAAAAACGTCGCCCCTAAAGTTCTTAAATCTTACCACTCTTACGTTAAACCTATGCCCTCTCATTTCAATTCCCAATCCTGGATAAAAGACTATATGCATTGATCTTGTCTATGCCCCTCATGATTTTATACATCTCAGTAAGGTCACCCCTCAATCTCCAATGTTCCAAGGAATGAAGTCCTATCCTGGCCAACTTCTCTCTATGACTCGGGCTTACTAGTCCTGCCAGCATCCTTGTAAATCTTGTTTGCACACTTTCCAATTTAACTGTCTTTCCGTAACAGGGTGACCAAAACTGTACACAATGTTCCAAGTGCAGCCTCACCAACGACTTATACAACTGTAACTGCCTTGACTGATGAAGGCCAGCATGCCAAATGCCCTCTTCACCACTCTGTCTACCTGTGACACTACTTTCAACGAACTCTGTACTTGTATTCCTAGGTCTCTCTGTTCCACAACACTCCTCAGGACCTTACCATTTATTATGTAAGTCCTACCTTGGTTTGACTTTCCAAAGTGCAACACCTCACATTTATCTGTATTGAATTGCATTTGCCAATCCTCAGCCCACTTGCCCATCTGATCAAGATCCCTTTGTAATTTTTGATAATCCTCACTATCAACTATACCTCCTAAATTTTGTATCATCCACTAACCTACTAATCATGCCTTGTACATTCACATCCAGATCATTTATGTAAATAAATAACAAGGGTCCCAGCAGTGAACCCTGTGGCCGACCACTAGGCCTCCAGCCCAAGAAACAACCTTCAACCATCACCCTCTGCTTCCTACCATTGAGCCAGTTTTGAATCCAATTAGCTAGCTCTGAGTCCCACGCGACCTAACATTTGTGACAAGACTGCCGTGCAGGTCCTTGTCAAAGGCCTTACTAAAGTCCAAATAGACAACATTCACTGCCCTACCTTGATCTAACCTCTTGGTTATCTCTTCAATAAACTTCAAAAGATCTGTCAGACATGATTTCCCGTGCACAAATCCATGCTGACTATCCCTAATCAGACTTTGCCTATCCAAATGTTGGTTGATCCTGTCCCTCAGTCTCCTGTCCAATAACTTACCTACCACTGATGTCAGGCTCACTGGCCTGTGGTTCCCTGGCTTGTCTTTGCTACCTTTCTTAAACAATGGAACAGCATTAGCCATCCTCCAGTCTTCTGGAACTTCACCAGTGGCTAAAGATCAAGCAAAAATCTCTCCAAGGGCCTTTGCAATTTCTTGCCTAACCTCCCACAATGTCTGAGGATGGACTTGATTAGGCCCAGGGGATTTATCCACCTAACGTGCTGTAAGGCTGCAAACACCACCTCTCTGGTAATGTGTGTGGTCCAAAACATCCCCACTTGTTTCCCATATTTCCTTAGAAGCCATAATTCTGTCCTCGCTGAGGAGAAATATCCATTAAAAATCTTCCCCCATTTCCTGTGGCTCCACACATAGACGGCCATGCTGATCTTTAATGGGACCTGTTCTCTCTCTAGCCACCCTTTGATCTTAATATAGCTATAGAACCTCTTGGGATTAGCTTTAACCTTATCTGCCAGATCCATCTCAGCCTCTTTTTGCTCGTCTGATTTCCGTTGAGCGTGCTCCTGTACTTTTTATAGTCATCTAGGGATTCGCTTGAGCCCAATAGCTTAAACCCAATGTAGCTGCCTCCTATTTCGTGACCGGAGCCTCAATATCCCTCGTCAGCCAGGGATCCCTAAACCTGCCAGCTTTTCCCTTCACCCTAACAAGGACATACTATGCCTGGACTCTTGATACCACACTTTTAAAAGCCTCCCATTTGCCAGTAGCTCCTTTTCCTTCAAATGGACTCACCCAGTTGACCTCTGCTAGATCCTGCCTAATGACCCTAAAATTGGCCCTGCTCCAGTTCAAGACCTTAACCTGTGGACCTGTCCTATCCTTTTCCATAACTCAGTTAAAACCGAGAGATATGGTCGCTGGATCCAAAGTGCTATCTGACTGACGCTTCAGTCACTTGCCCAACCTCGCTTCCTGAGAGGAGGTCCAGCGTTGCACCCTCTCCTATTTCTCATTTGGGGATTTCTCTACTGTCTGGGTGAAATGAGGCTGTTCGCATTTTTGGGTATCATATTTGATCCTGAGATGAACTTCTGACCAAATACCTATGTCATCACTACGCACCACTTATTCTTGCCTTTTGTAATATCATTTAACCCTACCCCAGCCTCTGCCCTTTTCCTGCTGAAACTCATCCATGCTTAAATTCAGATATTTCTACTGTCTGTGAAGTTGAGGTCATTCAGACCTCTGACCATCATTCCTTCATGCATCTGCACTCATTCACCCTTAACTGACCAATATTGCCTTCTGGTTAAGAATGTCTCAACTTTAAAGTTCCCATCCTGGTTTTCATATCCTTCCATGACTTCTATCTCTAATCATCTGAGCTTTGCAACTCAATTTACACTCATTGCATTTTGACCCATTGAGCAGCCTGATCTTTACCCCAAGCCCCTCTGTGCATCTTTGCTTTTTGGCACTTCAAAATCTTACTGCTGACCAAGCTGTCGATCATCCACCTGAATATATTTGTGGCTCTGTCAAATTCAGATTGGTGGTATTTCTGTGAAGTGATTTGACATGTTGCACCTTATTAAAACTGCTGTATAAGATAGAAGTTGTGTGATGAGGCTATGCTGTACAGTTCAAAATCTTTTTATGTGCTACATTATAACTTTGCAGTGAAGAGGATGTGGATTTTTGTTTTGTACATCTGGTGAATGAATCTTTAATTTTGTTGATGGCATCCCTATGGAAAAAGTTAAAATTGATTGGAAACGTGTGCACTGCCAGTGAAACCCTGACTTCCTGCAAAATAGTCTTTTTTTAAAGGACTGGATTAATCTTGTTGATTGAAGTGGTGCAACTGTTTTAGTACTTCTAAGAGGGCAATTAGACGTGGACAGAATGGCCACATGCCATGAAAGAATGTTAAAAAATGAAAGTTACAATGCTATTGTATATGCCTATAAAGTCCTTATGAATTAGTTAAAATAGCATGAATAAGCCTCAAAGTCCATTGTGATACTCATGAATTAGTGCCACTAATTCATGATTGGCATGTTTGGTTGGCTTGAACACTTTTTAGGACAGTGACAAGAATCACAGTATAATCTCTCACATATCCTAGAACCCCTGAATAAAATGGAATTTAACATGATAATAGGTTCTGATTGGGGAGTAAGAAAAAATAAAGAAGCTTTAGCTTTAATAGCTATTCTGATTAGTGCTACAATGTAGTCATCGTTGTTTTAAGTAATTTGAATTAGATTACTTGTATTGCGATCAAATGTTTATTGTAAGGTTTTTTAGAAGATCACAGATTACATGCAGCAAATAAATATTGTTGTCGTAACCAAGGCAGTCATTTTGAGCGTTTTTGGCCCAGGCAATATGTAATCGTGTTAGAGCTGAAAACGAACACTCACCTGTGTGGAAACATCTACTTGGTTCAATTTGTGCAAAGTGTTTTGCTTCACTGCATTTGTCCTGCATTAGATCTAATCTTTCCAAATGTTTATATTTTTCTCAGATATGAGGAATGCAAGGAAAAACTTGTGCCATTTTTGAAGAAAGTTGGTTTCAATCCTAAGAAGGATATTCACTTTATGCCTTGTTCTGGATTAACTGGTGCAAACTTAAAAGAACGAGCTGAGAACTGCTCTTGGTACACGTAAGTATTATCATCAAAAAACGTTAACAATCAAGTGGGCTAACAGTCAATTTGATAAATGTCATAACTTGATGCTGGTACTGCTGAAATGTGTGGTACAATTTGGCTATTAAGGGTTCTTCTTTAAAATCTTGAGTGGAATTAACATCGTCATAACAGTTCTCAAATATTATATCCCTGATTACAACTGTCGGGCTGCCCATGAGCGGGCATTCTAGGTTGGATTAAACAGTATTGTGCCGTAAAAATTTCTGTGTATAAACTAGCTAAACTGTTATTATAACCCACTTGGGAGGAATGTGGTGATCTTGTTTGGGGTGTGGAGGAGGGTGAGTGAGCAAAAGCGTAAGAGGTTTTATGTTGTGATATTTTATTTAAGGTTTGATCTTCCAGAAAGAGGTTTCTGGGCTGTCTTTTTTATGGTGCTTGTTTGTTTGTGATCATTCTGAACATCTATCTGTTCTCATAAGGCCACCGTCCCATTGACCTCTCCAGGTCCAATATTTCTAGGCACTAAGAAAAATGTCAAGACTGAAAAGATTTCCTACTATTACCAAAAAAAGCTTGAATAACTGTGGCTTAAATAAAATCAAGAGTATAAGGAGTTTTCCTTGGTTCCTCAAATAGGTGGCACTATATTGTTGAGATGTAAATAAGGATGTGCATAAGAAATGAGTATTTCAATGATTGGTAGTTAGAGGAAAAGGAATAACAGACTTCTGCCCTCCCCCTCCCCACACCTTGGTTTTGCAGTAAGTTTGGTTTCATGTTTAAATATCTCGAAGTGTAATATATTGAAGCAGCATGATTTAAAATGGTTAAACTCCTATGTTAAGAAGCCAATGTTCCCTTTTGTTATGACTGCTCCATGCTGCAGTGGGAGCAAGTTTGTTTTCAGCTTGATGGAAGAAGTGAGAAATGTGGGTAAAATATCTTGATATTATTCATGACATAAGGGGGTATGGTGATTTTGTGATTGGAGTATTTTTTATATTTACACAAGGATTGTGGGCATCTCTGGCTAGGCTAGCATTTATTATTGATCCCTAATTGCCCCCAGGGCGGTTAAGAGTCAACCACGCTGCTGTGGATCTGCCAAATCTGGTAACGATGGCCAATTTCCTTCCCTAAAGGACATTAGTAAACCAAATGGGTTTTTTTTACAATCAACAATGGCTTCATGGCCATCGTTAGACCCTTAATTCCGGAGTTCCACCATCTGCCGTAGCATGATTTGTACATTAGTTGAACTTCTGGGTTTAATAGTCTAGTGATAATGTCACTAGGCCATTTCTTCCCCCAGTACATTAGCTACGTAAGTTATTCAGCTCCAACAACAAACACAATGCTATCCTGGGCCATATAACCTGCTGAGTTGGCACCACATCCATAAACATTTATTTTCTTCCCCACTGATTCAGTGGCAGCGGTGTGTGCCATCTACAAGATACATTGCAGAAATTCACCAAGGCTTTTACCACCTTCCAAACCCACTACCACTAGCACCTAGAAGGACAAGGCAGCAGATACCTGGGAACACCACCGCCTGCAAGTTCCCGTTCACCATCCTGACTGGAAAATGTATCACCATTCCTTCACTGTCACCTAATCAAAATCCTGGAACCTTATTCCTAACTGCATTTTACCGACAACTACTGGGGTATGAGAAGGTACCTGACCACCACCACCACCTCAAGGACAGCTATGACTGGGCAGTAAAAGTTTGCACATCCAGAAAAGCCCAAATTCCTTGAATATAGAATCTGTACCAAATTTGCTTTAATATCTAAAATATAATTTTAAATAGAGTTAGTCAAATGTTTACAATTTTTTCAGTGTATTCTGTGTATCAGAGCTGTAGTTCATTATCTTTTAGTGTACATGTGTATAAGTGTGCAATAAAATTTTTGGAAGTTGCCTCTTATATTGAAGTTAATAAAATTATAGGAAACATACTTTCAAGACGAAAGTTGAATTTGTTTTGATTTGTTTATGTTCCCAGACAAATTGTTGTCGAGTAATCAGTGGAGTCTGGTTGCATTTGTTTTGAAGAATTTATTATTGACGTGCTAATTTTGTGACTGCTTGCCCATTCATTTCATACTCGATTGGTAACTGATTAATTTGAAATTTAGAAATAGAACTAGATTTTTATAGAAAAAAATTCCATCTTAAAATTTGGCTGCTCTATTGTGATTTTTCTTCCAGTGGATTACCATTTATTCCCTATCTGGACAATTTACCACACTTCTATAGGGCATCTACTGGACCTGTGCGAGTACCCATTGTAGATAAATACAAGGTAAGCTTGTGTATTTGTCGTTGACTTTATTCAATTTAAGTACTTGGCACACCTTTTGTGTGTTTTTTATTATTTGAGAAGATAACAACTAATCTGTTGTATTTGAAGCTGCATCAGTCTTAAATCCTGAGCTATTCAGCTTTATCTATTCTCTTCAAAAGGCTTTTGTTCCACTGACACAAATTCCAGAAAATCCAGCCCTACAGATACCTGGCTGAATTTAAAATTTTGAGAAGTCATAAGTTCCATGATTTGTATAATCTGCAAATATACAGGCATGAAACCGCACACATTCCCTCCTTACACTGAAGTGATGATTGGTTTCTGTCCTTGAAGGCTTTAAGTTGACCACCTCAGTGTGATAAATATAATGATGACCTCAATAACATGCATGATCATCAGAGTTGCAATTCAGAATACAATTCAAACCAGTATTAAAATCTTTTAATTAAGATAGATAATCTTATTTTTTTCAGGGTTGCCACATCTGTCAATCATGCACTGGAAACGGTCTAATGCTACACAAACCCGGCCAGTTCAGTTGCTTCAAACCTTTGGGCAGGCTATTGACAATCTGACCTGGTAGCTCTTGAGTGGCTGAGTGTTACACTTCATTTAAAATAGTTCCTTGAAGTGCCATGCGACACATCACACTACTTTAAACAGCATGAGCAGTTATTGTTGGGATTTAATACGGACTTGGAGTTATAATACTGCAATTATGTATTAAGCAGTGAAGCTTAATGACCTTGCCAGTGCTGATCCTGGCAGTATCTGATCTTTTTTAGCCAGGAAATAGAATGGTGATTTACAAGAAGTTAAAGCTAACTCGATCATCTTGTTTCAGAAGCTCATAGCTGCAGTAGAAAGTACATTAAAGTACTAACAAAATTTACTGTTTAGCTCAGTTTTCAGTTCTGAAATATTCCAACTGTTTCAACTGTAGATGAGAGAAAGTCAACTTTCCAAAAGAAACTTGGTCACAAAGTACCTCATTAAGTGTGGGTTGTTGAATAGAAAGTAACTTAAGTTGTGCTTAGCATGGGCAACAGAAATGTGATAATTTGTGTTTTAAATGGTTCATAGTGGCTGAATAACTCATTTTAATTTTTTTTGTAGGATATGGGTACTGTGGTTCTAGGCAAACTAGAATCTGGATTAATTGGGAAAGGACACCAACTTGTCATGATGCCAAATAAAGTAAGTTTACTTGCAATTATTACATGTATGTCTGAAATATGACATTTATGTATTTAGTAATTCAGTTTGCAGTTGGATATCTCATTCAATCTAGCTGCAAGTGTGTGTCGGGCTCCCAAATACCATGGTATATATTGCAGCAAAATTACTTTTCAGACTACCAAGGTTTTTTAAGCCAGAAAATCACTTTGTTCAAGCTAGGTGTTTCACTCAAGCCTGAACATTGGCCCTAGTTTGTCTGAGAAGATGGTGATCTGCTTAGGTTTTCTGCAGTCCTTGTACAGTATTTGTTTGGACAATAGCCAATATTTCAAGACAATTTGAAATCTTAATCCAAATTCTGATCTGTAGCTTTTTCTTGTTCATTATCGAAAAGAAAGGTAAGTTGTGATGCACCTTGAGGATGGTTAGTCAAACACCAAGATGAAGGATTAAGTGGGAAAGCTTGCTAGTTTGCTCAATGTTACATCTTAATATATTTGTATCTTCAGTAGTGGAAAAGTTAGTCAGTCCTCCAGATGTTGAATTTGCAGAAAGATAGGAGCATAATGGTCACGTCAATGGACTGTGCTAATGTTTGGGGACACAAGTTTGAATCTTTGCTCAGCAACTGGTGGAATTCAAATTTTAATTAATGAAAGCTAGTCTCAGTAATAGTGACCATGACATGCAGTCAATTGATGCAAAAAGATATTTGGCTTCGCCACTGTCCTGCTGGGAAGGAAATCTCCGATCCTTATCTGGTCTGGCCTACAAGTGACTCCCGACCCACTGCAATGTAGTTGACTCTCAACTGCCCTCTGAACTTGGCCAGCAAGTCAGTCAGTTCCAATGTAATTAGTAATAGGTATAAATGCTAGCATCACCAGCAATGGCCTAGTGGTATTATCACTAGGCTATTAATCCAGAAACCCAGCTAATATTCTGGGGACCCAGGTTCAGATTCTGCCACGGCAGATGGAATGTGAATTCAATGAAGAATCTGGAATTAAGAGTCTAACGATGACCATGAAACCGTTGGCGATTATAGGGAAAACCCCATCTGATTCAATAATGTCCTTCAGGGAAGGAAATCTGTTATCCATACCTTGTCTGGAGTCACGTGTCTGCATCCTGTGAGTGAATTTAAAAAAAAAAAAAAAAATCTCCAGTGGAACCCGTATGAAATATAATTTCTTCTATTGTACCTAATTATTTGTTAACTTGCCTTTATTTGTGATCATTACAGTTTTTGTTATACAATTGGCTGGTCACTTTAATTTCTTTCCCAGTTGGTTTTTATGGAAGAGTAGCTAAATTGACTCAAACTAGTACAGTTTGCAGTGTTGCTTTTGGATTAAATTGGAACATTTGGTTGGGGGAGAATATTCAATATGAACCGATTAATGTTGATATTCTGTTTCCAGCACAATGTTGAAGTTCTGGGTCTCCTGTCTGATGATGTAGAAACTGAGACTGCAGACCCAGGTGAAAATCTAAAGATACGACTGAAAGGTATTGAAGAGGAGGAGATACTGCCAGGATTTATCCTGTGTGATCATGGCAGCCTTTGTCACTCAGGACGTACTTTTGATGCTCAGGTAAACTTCTGTTTTTGGATTAAAATACAGCAACAGTCCAACCAATCAGGTAAAATACAATTTCATGATCTGGTGGCAATTTCCTGAAAATACTCTTAATAGATAATATATATAAAGTCGAAAGAAACTTAAGCAAGCAGTCAGGAGGGCTAAAAGGGGTCATGAAAAGTCATCGGCCAACAGGATTGAGGAAAATCCCAAGGCTTTTTTTTATACATAAAGAGCAAGAGGGTAGCCAGGCAGAGGGTTGGTCCACTCAAGGACAGGGAAGGGAATTTGTGTGGAGCCAGAGGAAATGGGCGAGGTATTAAATGAGTATTTAGTGTCAGTATTCACCAGAGAGAAGGACTTGGTGGATGATGAGTCTGGGGAAGGGTGTGTAGATAGTTTGTGTCATGTTGAGATTAAAAGGGAGGTGGTATTGGCGGTCTTGAAAAACATTAAGGTAGACAAGTCCCCAGGGCCTAATGGGTTATAAGCCAGAATACTGAGAGGCAAGGAGAAAATTGCTGTGGCCTTGAGGGAAATCTTTGTATCCTCAATGACTGCAAGGGAAGTCCCAGAGGGTTGGAGAATAGCTACTGTTTTTCCTTTGTTTAAGAAAGGTTGCAAGTATAATCTGGCTAATTACAGGCCGGTGAGCCTTGTGTCAATGGTAGGGAAATTATTGGAGAGGATTCTTCAAGACAGGATTTACTCCCACTTGGAAATAAGCGGACATATTAGCAAGAGGCTACGTGGTTTTATGAAGGGGAAGTTGTGTATCACTAACTTGATTCAGTTTTTTGAGGAAGTGACAAAGATGATCGATGAAGGTAGGGCAGTGGATGTTGTCTACATGGAGACATGAGACCCTTCTGAGGAAGGGTCACCGGATGTGAAACGGTTTTTCCTTCTCAGATGCTGCCAGATCTGCTGAACTTTTCCAGCAAGTTTGTTTTTGTTTCTGATTTACAGCATCCACAGTTCTTTCAGTTTTTACTGAATTATTTCTATTTGAACAATGCACAATGTTACGTGGTAAAGGCACACACTCTACAAGTCAGGAATGCGACTAAAAGTTTTTACGTTTGGATGATGAGCATTCAGGTCAAACAATTTTGCTTAATTGGCCCCTGACCAAGGAACGTCTACTCCTTCTACTACTGCATACTACAGTCTACAGAAGTTTGTTCCTTCACAACATTGCTGCAGAAAAGGTTTGCTGCAAGGCAACCTAAGGAATGGCTATAAATGTCATCTTTTCAAATGTCATCCACTTTGTGAATGAATTTGAAAAATAGTCTTGCTGTGTCTAGCTCACTAGGTTGGTTTTGATTACCTTTAGTAAGTTACTGAAGATTGACTTGCGGTATGTTTTTGACAGCTGGCATATTTTGGAATGCATACATTTTCTTTACAAACTGTCAAAATTAGTGTTGAAGTAATTTTTTATTTTATTGCAGATAGTTATAATTGAGCATAAATCCATCATCTGCCCAGGTTACAATGCAGTGCTGCACATTCATACTTGCATTGAAGAGGTGCAGATCGCGGTAAGTTGAGAGAAGTTGAAGCAATTATCGGTTTTAGAATAGAATAGCATCTGTACAGTGTGGAAGCAGGTTATTCGGCCCTTCGAGTCCACACCAACCCTCCGAAGAGCATCCCAACCAGACCCACCCCCTACCCTATCCCGTAACCCCACATTTCCCATGGCTAATCCCCCTAGCCTGCACATCCCCGGACACGATGGGCAATTTAGCATGGCCAGTCCACCTAGCCTGCACGTCTTTGGACTGTGGGAGGAAACCGGAGCACCCGGAGGAAATCCATGCAGACAAGTGGAGAATGTGCACACTCCACACAGACCATTGCCTGAGGCAATATTTGAACCTGGGTTCCTGGTGCTGTGAGGCAGCAGTGCAAACCACTGAGCCAACGTGCTGCCCTTACTTTATTGAATTTTGTTTCAAAAAAATCTGTATAGTTGACTATTTTGTAAAAGTTTATGCTAAAAATGATTTGATGATTTGAAATACTGCATATTGGCCATCAACATATGTAGGACAGTGCCTGACACTACTGGGTATCTCCTCCACAAATGAATTCTTGGATTACTTAGTTTAAAAGTGAAGCAGCTTGTAAGAATTCTGATTATTTAATCACATGGCATATTTACTACATGGTTAAGATGTCTAGATCTAATAGCCAGATTGTAGAACCATTCAAACCAACACATTTCATTGGATGTCTGTATAGTCACTTAACCATGTTTTTGATAACCTTGTTACTTGTGTTGTCTGTCAAAAAAAAAAATGAGGTTTACCTTGGGAATGTCTGAAAACAAGGGATGTTAAATCCTTCTGATCTTTTCAGTTTTGTATCTGATTTCTTTCTGTCTTGTACCCACTGTCTGTGCTTTTTGATCCTGTACCTAGAAACCCATCAATAATCCAGTCAGACTAGGAACTTTGGTACAGCAGAATATTTGCATTCGCAAAAATGCTAACATGGTGAAATTGAGGATCTGATATTCTCATTACTGATTTATTTGCGTAAAATTAAGCACAGTGCTGTATTTTGTAGATGGATACTAAAACGTAGTGCTAATAGAGACCTAATCTGGGAGTATGCCCTTAAAACACTCAATAAGCTAGTTAATGTCAGCCTTAATAAGCATGCAGTGCAAATGTCTACGAGTCACGGAAATCAACTTGCTGATTTGTGATTGGTATGAGTTCAAGCAAAAGCTTGGGCATAACCCTGTCTTACTACTGCTTTCCACAGTATTTTGGCAAGAACTTCTCTTTGTCAGTTTAACATGAAGGAACCCAATACGGAAAGGTTTGCAGACAACCTTGTTAGTGCTCTTTCTTAAAAAAAAAAAAAAAAAATAACTGCCTTGCCATATGGATTCGTTATTTTTCTACTTCATGATTTAAATAGTTTGTTAGGCATGAAATAGAGGTGGGGAGGAGCTGGGGTTTGGAGAATTGTTTCTTGTGTAAAATAAAGAAAAGTGGTGCTATAATATTCTCATTCAAGTATTGAGGTATTTCTTATGCCTTCTGCTGAATTCTGACTTGCATTATCTTCCATGTACAATGTTTAAATCAACATGCCCAGAATATTTTACCTAAAAAAATTAATAGACATTTTAGCTTCTCCAGTCTGAGAGCATAATGTAATCTGATTTGACTCTTGACAGTACTCATGCAACTTTCAATGTAATTTTGAAGTTAAATGATTCTGGGTGACAATTCTGTTTTCAGGCCTTAATCTGCCTGGTCGATAAGAAGTCCGGAGAAAAGAGCAAGACGCGGCCTCGTTTTGTTAAACAGGATCAGGTTTGCATTGCACGTCTAAGGACAGCTGGAACTATCTGCCTTGAGACCTTCAAAGATTTCCCTCAAATGGGGCGCTTTACCTTGAGAGACGAAGGTAAGCCACAGATTTTTGCACAAATCCACACTTTAGTGACCTAAAAGGGATTTGTTCCGTTAATGCATGAGTTGAATTTTTCAAATTGTGTAACTTTTTATATGCTTAATAAATTATGATTGGTTCTAATATTTGCTAATAGAGTAACTTGACCACAAAGCTACCAGAAAAACTTGATTCACATTTAGAAATTGAACAAAAATTAGGACAGTGCAAGTCGTCCTTGAAATACACCCTATACGGTCTTATATGATTGTGCGTTGCGTGTTTTGTAGAAAAAAATAGAAGTTTTGAGCCACTTAAACTGAGTTGCTAAGTTTGTTTTGAGATAAATGGGATATTTTTTGACCTTTTCCAAAGTCTGGCATTTTAAAATTATGTATGTTAAAGGAACCTTAAAGTATATGTCTCTATATTTGATAATTATGAACTGAGTTGATTTTCCTTTGTGTGGAGGTATGAATCAGTCCGGTTGTTTACGTAAAGTAGTTTAAGTATAGACGTGTACACTGTTCCCTTGGCATTCTTACAAAATTCCTGTCAAGAATTGAGGAATAGGGTTATCAAATTTAGGACCTTGATATTATTTCCACCACAATTCATTGAGATGATGGCATATTTTAACCCAATAGTTCTCATGCTTTTTTTGTGCATGAGGCTTCCCTTACCAAGTTTATATAAAATCCACACATCCTGTGTAGCACAACACAATTTTCTCCTGAATGAATTTTAGCTATACATACAAACGTGTCCATTATTTTTGTTTTGCTTCATTTGAAACTTCGTTCCTGGTATTAAGCACAACCCTATTAAGATTTGGGGCTATTGTGCCCAATGGTCATTGTGCTTCACTTATGTACAAGTCATTTCCACTGAGGTTAGCAGACTTGAACTTAACTTGGAGGCTGTTCATAGAATCATACATAGGCCATTCGGCCTAACAAGTCCACACCGACTCTGAAGAGCATACCAGCCAGACATGCTTTCCTACCCTATCCCAGCTGTTCCCATGGCTAATCCACCTAACCTAACATCCCTGGACACTATATGGGCAATTTAGCATGGCCACTCCACCTAACCTGCACGTCTTTGGACTGCGGGAGGAAACCAAGTACTTGGAGGAAACCCACAAAAACAGGGGAAGAATGTCCAAACTCCACACAGTTGCCCGAGGCTGGATGCGAACCCAGATCCCTGGCACTGAGGCAGCAGTGCTAACCACTGAGTCACCATGCCGCCCCAAGAAGAGGCGAGCACACACAACTTTAAGTTCATGGCTGGAAACCTGCAGACTTGGTCACTGTGGTGAGTGAACCCATGACCTTGGCATTATTAGCACCATGCTTTAACCATCTGCAATAACCGACCAATGCCAATGGTGGTGTTGGCTGCACCAATGCTAATTTCTTCTCTTGCTCATTACTAATGAGCTGAGACGTGGTGTAGCTGCTGAGTCTTGACAGCACCTCTGCAGGCACGATGGGCTGAATGGCAGCCTCCTGCACTGTAATACTTCTGTGATTCTGTGACCGTTGATCAGTGAGCATGATTTACTGATTTCAAGCAACAGTTTCTCATTTCTCATTCTCTGCAAGATTGGAATTACTAAAAAAGTGCTGGTGTTAATTGGTGATCAAGGCTGGAAGCTAAGACTTTATGGCCGAAATGCTGTAACTTTGTCAGATTGGTGATTAATAGACTTCATATGATCGGCAGGTTTGGAATTGAGAAGCTGGGGTTAAATGATATTTCAGCAAGTTTATTACAAGTAGTTTTGTCTGATGCAAGTTAATTTTACTAAAGCAATAAATTTATCTTTTTTCCCCTCCCCAAAAGGTAAAACTATTGCAATTGGGAAGGTCCTTAAGCTGATCCCGGAGAAGGATTGAACATCCACTATCTAATGCTGCACAATACTGTGATGAAAAAGGACTCAGCAACAGCCTACTTCACGCCTTCCTTTCTTGGTTTCATTGTTCCTCTGCCCATCAATATCTTTATCTTCCCATAAACTGCGAAATGCTGTAAACGTGTCCACATTTTACGTCAGCTTTCTCATATTGAGAGCTCTGCTATGCCATTGTTTAAGCTACCATTTTAAATCCTTTTCTTCTGAAATCTGCTTCCTTAGAAATACAGCAGTAGCTACCTAACTGATGTGGACAGAATTGCCTGCAAAAATAAAATTAAACCAAAAAAGTTTATTTTATTCTGGCATCATTCTCTTTTGTGCGCATTCTCGCTCACCTGCTTTTTCCAGCTAGATCAGGTTATTCAGATCAGCATATGTTTGTGTTAAAAAGGCATCTGTAGAGATAATAAAATTGATTGAAATGTTTGTGGCACTTGGGTTACTTTGGGAAGCTTTATTTGAAGTGAGCCTTGCATCAGCTTGGTAACTGGTGTCCCAGCAAGTTACATTTTAGATTTTTAATTTTCACTTCCAGTCCTAAATGTGTTTTATAAATATCTGCCATGTACCCACACGGTATGGTTTTTGTGGGTTTTTTCCAACTTGCACAAAAGCATGATGCATTCTAATGTAACTTTGTGTGCTGGAAAACAACTTTCATTGTTTCAGTACTGATAAAGGTGCAGTGCGTATTTGTTTGAAGCTACTGCTTCCCTTCCATTAGTGCCACCTCCAAAAGAATCATTTTTTCAAGAAAGGTACACAACCTCAAGTAAATAAATGTGAATCGTTTGGGACGAACCTCGGGAGAAAAGAAACTAATGAATGCTACGTGAGCTTTGGTCTTGCAATCCACGTTGAACAAGCAGTATATTAACATGGGTAAAGAACCAAAAGGACTGCGAGTGCTGGAAATGAGAAACAAAAATTGAAACTGCTGGAAAGTCTCAGGACGTCTAGTACCATCTGTGGAGAGAAATCAGTTAACATTTCAAGTCCTGTGTCCTTCCTGCAGAACTGATTTCTCTCCATGAATGGTGCCAGACCTGCTGAGATTTTGCAGCAGATTCCGTTTTTGTTATTAACATGGGTATCTCTGTTTGATTCTTTTGCCGTGAAATGCTAATTCACATAATAGATGGGAATATCTGCAGTTGAATTTTTATTTTCTTGCTTATGAGCATATTACATAGACCAGTTGAAATGTGGGTGCACATTTCAATTTTGTCACTTTGGGTGGGGGATTTTAACACTTGTTACTTGATATGAAAGTTAATTTTTCAATAAATTGATTTTATAAGGGGAATGGATATTTCTTAGATGAGTAATGAAGATTTTAAAAAATCAGCTGAATAGAACCAGTGTGGTTGGTATACAAAAGGAGAAAATATAGTTCTTGTACATATTTAAAATTCTTGTATTTGAGACAGCAGTTATTTAATACAGTGGTAAATTTGTTACTGCTAAAGGGCCATGATGGGAACTTTTGAACATTAAAAAAAAAACTCCCTCACCAAGCAAAGTTACTATTCCAGTTATTGAAAGGGATCTATGAAAGATTGATGGGATTAGCCCTAAATAGAGAAGGAACAATGGTGTGAATGGGCCAATCTTGAAAAATTGCAATTACGTCTTATTTTGTTGTCAAGCAACACGTTACCTTCAGACTTTGGACAAAAAATATACCTGAACACTAAATTGAAGCAAATCCCATTGATATACTGGGCTGTTACTAGTGCAAACTGTACTGCCTGTAAAATCGATTGATCCAATGCCGTGAAACCTAGTCATATTACTTCACCTATTTTAGGAGTCAACTGGGCAGCCATCTGTTTTCTCTTTAGTTTTGTTTTGCTTCTATCAAGTTTAGTTCCAATAGTGCAAGGAAATGAGAGTACCATTGTTTTGTTATTTTATTTTCAAAACAAAATAATCCAGGAATTTGCTGCTTTTGAGGAAAAGTTGGTGCTTTGGTATATTAATGGCAATATTTCCCATGGTTTCTGCTATTGCAGTGCTTTTTTTAAATTGGTTAAGTCAGTAAGCGTCTAAAGAAAATGCTAATTGCTGCTGTATGAATGCCCCTTTAAATGGGCAAATGTTGGCTTTGTCTTGGTAATCCCACTTGAAGTTGTCTGTTTTATATAATGAAGTATCATTAGCACTGCACAAGCCTGGTGTAAGACAGCACAACTGTTAAATATGACCATGGTATTGTATAGTATACAAGTTTCTTGTATGCGTTCTTAATCTCAAAATAAAATTTGTTTTCCTTTCCATTGGCATATTGTTTCTAACTGGAGATCTAGAGTACATGTTTGGTTTTGTCTTTTCATCATGTAAATGCATTCATGTAATTACATTATTAACTAAGATGAGCAGAGAGGACAGTGAGAAATTTCCACTGAAGAGGCTTGCTGTATTACTATCCTTGCCTAAAAATACAATGGTATGCTGAACAGGTTTCATACTGGATACTTTCTCCAGGCTATGAAAGGACATACACTTGTATAGCATACATTGCAGAAGATTTATAGAGTATTAGTGGCAAATACCTTTGGTAATTTGATTTGGTGTGTTTGCAATAATTCTGCTTTAAAAGTACAATTTTCTATCCTAATTGGGTATTGAAGTCTATATTGATCAATGCATTGTTTAAGGTATGTGCAGTAATGAGTTTGTTTTAGCTAAGTAAATGGAGGATTAGCACCATCACGTCCAAATGCCTAAAATTAATCATTACCTTTATATAAATGTACATACAAGGCGCTCCTTTCTTAAGAGGTGCTTATGATCTTAGTGACCAGGCTATACAAATAACCAGGTGATTTAAAATATTACCTTTTGAAGTGCAGTGCAGGATATTGTTTGCTAAAATGCATGGGATTCAATATCTGTTGAAAGCTAAAAACAGAAAGTTGTATCAACTTGCTGAATTTTTCTGTTTAACTGAACTTCAGCTGTAAGTTGCTGTAAATGATTTTCTTTGTCCACACTGTACTTTGCTTAAAGTGCAAATTGCACTTATCCATTGTATGTTATGATTCATTTCATTAACCAAACTACAGAAGGGTAAAAGTGATCATAAGATGGTTGTATTATGGACAATTTCATTACAAATAAATTGTGTGCAATGGAACATTATCTTCTCCGTGAATTCCTAGGGAATAGTCTTGTGGCAAATGGGTTATTTAACCAGAATTGACTGTGTAGAAAAGTCATTCATTTATGTTTTTTTAAGTGCTGGCTCTTCACATATGTGTGCACATTTAGCAAACCTAAATTGGCTGAGCTAACCTTGATTGCCAAGATGAAGTTGTGTTGTGAAACTGTACGTGGGATAGTGTTTAAATTGCAATAAAGTTTTGTTGAAGGTATTTACATGAAATCATTTATTTACATTCACAGGGTAAGATCAACGAGGGAAATAAATAAAAATTGCTCTCTGCTTCAAATGGTAGAACAGATATAGCCAGCAAATGACTAGCCATGTCATATAGACCAGGGAAATCCTGGCTGTAGTCTGCTCTCTATTGAGCTTGCTGATCTCAGCCTTGATAGAAATGGAAGCAATCAAATTGCTTGAAATTTCCTGGCTGAAGGGAACATCAAACAGCATTTACTTTATTCAGTGATCTCTGCTGAAAATGTCTGTGCTCCGTGGTTTACCTAGCAGACTACATCAAAGTTTGCGTGAAGCTACCAGCACTTGTCTAATCTGTGTGCTCTAAAAATTTGGGGAGGAGAGAAATTAAGGGTAGGAAGGATTTAACAGGGATGTTTGGTTTAATCCAAATAACCTTGCATGTCCTGTGTGTGTTGTGTTGCATCAGATCAGCTTTGGGTGAATCCATAAGTCATCTAACTACCAGAGACATGCATTTTCTCCATTAACACAATATCAAGACTAATAGCTTATTAGCTGAGTTGACATTAAGGTTTCCAATTTGTACTATATGATCACTCAACTAGTAACTCAAATAACATGACAAAGTTATTAGTGCCTGGTTGGATTTACAAAAAAAAAATGCTGCACTAGTCTGTGCTATCTTAGTTTAATGGACCAAAGGGGTAATTTCAGTTGGGAATATTTTAAATAGAAATTAAGGTCACGTTGATAGAAATTGAGGGGAGATGGATGCTCTGTTTACACGAGTCTGAAGAGCCTAAATAAGTTTGCATATGATTAATCATTTTGAAGATTTGCTGTGTAAAAATGAAAGCAATTAATGTTTTGCTGGATAGAGGTTTGAAACAAGTCTTTGTTTGAAGGTTATTTTGAGTACTCTGTACTCTACCCAAGTGAAAGACAGACCCATTATGATACTGGCAAAAAAGTGTTTGTGTAACTGAGCACACAGTGCTCAGATGTGATCACTATATGCCATTCTTCCATTTTCCAAGTTGCTGTTTTGCCCAAAACCACTAAGTTATTGCTTGCAGGAATACCCTGTTTGTAATTTTTTGCTAAAGGTATTAAAGTGCTTCACAGAAGTGTTGTAAAGCAAACTTTGACAATGAATCACATGACGCTATTAAGGCAGATAGCCCAAAGCTCAGCTCAGGAGGCAGGTTTTCTTCTATTCATTTGTGGGATGTGTGTGTCGCTGGCTGGCCAGTATTTCTTGCCCATCCCTAGTTGCCCTTGAGAAGGTGGTGAGTTGCCTTCTTGAACCACTGCAGTCCTCCTGCTGTGGGTTGACCCAAAATGCTTTTAGGGAGGGAATTCCAGGATTTTCAACCAGCTACAGTGAAGGAACAGCAATATATTTCCAAATCAGGATAGTGGGGAACTTGGAGGTGATTAGTGTTCCCATATATCTGCTGCCCTTGTCCTTCCAGATGGAAGCCGTCGTGGGTTTGGAAGGTGCTGTCTGAGGATCTTTGGTGAATTTCTGCAGTGCATCTTGTAGATTGTACACACTGCTGTTACTGAGCGTCGGTGGTGGAGGGAGTGGATGTTTGTGGATGTGGTGCCAATCAAGCGGGCTGCTTTGTCCTGGATGGTGTCAAGCTTCTTGAGTGTTGTTGGGGCTGCACTCATCCAGGTAAGTGGGGTGTATTCTATCACACTCCTAAATTGTGCCTTGTAGATGGTGGACAGGCTTGGAGGAGTCTGGATGTGAATTACTCGCCGCAGTATTCCCAGCCTCTGGCCTGCTTTTGTAATCACTGTTTATGTGGTGAGTCAATTGAGTTTCTGGTCAATGGTAACCCCCAGGATGTTGATAGTTGGGGATTGAGTGATGGTAATACCATTGAATGTCAAGGGACCATATTTAGATTGTCTCTTATTGGTGATGGTCATAGCCTGGCATTTATGTGGCACAAATGTTACTTGCCACTTGGCAGCCCAAGCCTGGATATTGTCCAGATCTTGCTGCATTTGAACATGGACTGCTTCAGTATCTGAGGAGTCACAAATGGTGCTGAACATTGTGCAATCGTTGGCAAACATCCCACTTCTGATCTTATGATGGAGGGAAGGTCATTGATGAAGCAGCTGAAGATGGTTGGGCCTAGGACACTACCCTGAGGAACTCCTGCAGAGACGTCTTGGAGCTGAGATGATTGACCTCCAACAACCACGACCATCTTCCTATGTGTCAGGTATGACTCCAACCACTGGAGAGTTTGCCCCCGATACCCATTGATTCCAGCTTTGCCAAGGCTCCTTGATGCCACACTCTGTCGAATGCAGCCTTGTTATCAAGGGCTGTCACTCTCACCTCACCTCTGGAATTCAGCTCTTTTGTCCATGTTTGAACCAAGGCTGTAATGAGATCAGGAGCTGAGTGGCCCTGGCGGAACCCAAACTGGGCATCACTGAGCAGATTATTTCTGAGCAGGTGCTGCTTGATATCACTATTGATGACACCTTCCATCACTTTACTAATGATTGAGAGTACTGATGGGGCAGTAATTGGCCGGGTTGGATTTGTCCTGCTTTTTGTGTACAGGACTTACTTGGACAATTTCCACATTGTTGGTAGGTACCAGTGTTATAGTTGTACTGGAACAGGTTGGCTAGGGGAGTGGCAAGTTCTGGAGCACAAGTCTTCAGTACAATTGCCGGAATGCTGTCAGGGGCCGTAGCCTTTGCAGTATCCAGAATACCCAACCTTTTCTTGATATGTGGAGTGAATCGAATTGGCTGAAGACTGGTGTCTGTTATATTGGGGACCACTGGAGGAGGCCGAGATGGATCATCCACTCGGCACTTCTGGCTGAAGATTGCTACAAATGCCTCACCCTTATCTTTTGCACTGATGTGCTGGGCTCTTCCATCATTGAGGATGGTGATATTTGTGGAGCCTTCTCCTCCAGTGAGTTGTTTAATTGTCCACCACCATTAACAACTGGATGTGGCAGGACTGCAAATCAGATGTAAGCTCAGTTGGTTGCAGGATTGCTTAGCTCTGTTATTTTTTTTCTGAGGAGCATGGTGCGTCAGGGAGGTTTAGCTCAAACTTCAATGCTTACAACCAATGCAGTTGAAAGCACGGTCACCAAGTGGAACTATTCAAATGCACAAGAGGCCATAACGAGGTTAAGTGCAGAAGGCTAAGGGAGCAAAAGTCAGGGCATGCAGGATTTCAAAAAGGATGTTTAAAAGTTAAGTGGCTATTTAACCAGTCAGTATAAGATGACAAGCACGGAGGTGAATGGCTAAACAGAATATAGTGTAAGTAAGGGTACGGGAAGCAGTTTGATGACCTTTAAATTTTAATGGAGGGAAGAGTGCAGGAGACCAGCCAGAAGTGTGTTGGAATAATGTAAAGGTAACAACGTTGAGTGAGGGTTTTAGCGGTTGAGGTGAGGCAGCAACATCAGGCAGTGCAACTGAGATGCCAGAGGCAATTCTGCCTTAGAAAAGTGCTTTGCTGCTGCAAAGCAGAGACCCTAAGTGGTTCTTTACAAATATAGTTGGTGGCAGAACAGTGTTTGCCATGAGCCACATGTAATAAAAGCCAGGGACAACAATAGATAACAAGGTGTAGAGCTGGATTAACACACAGGCCAAGCAGCATCAGAGGAGTAGGAAAGCTGACGTTTCGGGCCTAGACCCTTCAGAAAAAGGGTCTAGGCACGAAACGTCAGCTTTCCTGCTCCTCTGGCCTGCTGTGTTCATCCAGCTCTACACCTTGCTATCTCAGATTCACCAGCATCTGCAGTTCCTACTATCTCGAAAACAATAGATTGTGATCAACTCGTGCATTTCACCTAAGAACATTTAAGGTTTTTCACACGGTCATTGGTCACAGACTATCATTGGTGTTAAACCAGACAGTTTATGGAAGAATCTTAAAAGTTTAAGCCAAAGAAATTATCTGGCTGAATTGGTCAATAGTTTGTGCCAGGCAATCAGCAAGGCCCATCAGTCACTGAAACAAAAACTTTCTTCAGCAAGAGAATTGGAACTCTCTTACAGTCAGAATCCCTTATTATCAACTTTGCGGGTTCCCAGTGACCAGAAATTAAACTCGACCAGTCTATAAGCACTGTGCCTACAACAGCTCAGTCAAGAGATCAGAATTCTGAAGTGATTAACTTGCTTCCTGATTCCCCCAAATTCATTTTCAGTGCCAAAAGGAGGAAGAATGAAAATAGTACAAAGGAGGAAGAAATGGGGTGCAATGTTTCCTTGGACAATTCTTTTCACAAGAAAATTGCAATATATGACCATCTTCATCCAAGGACTTCACAGAAATGTTCACAACCAAGTAATTTTGTTTTAAATGCCTCTCCCTCTGAGCTGTTGGTGTGTCCCCCCCAAGTTTTTTTTTAAAATAGAAATTTGTAACAGACTTTAAAGCATAATGGTTTACCTTGCTAAGTCAAAACATCCAAGATAAATAAAAACCCATTAGTCCTGCCAAAGTAGCATTCTCTCACGGCCTCAAACTAAATCACCTTGGCTACAGAAATACCTATGTTGAAAATCAATTTTAACCATACTGAAAATCTGTTATTAAACCAAGACTAAATTACAGGAGATGAATTAAGTCCTATCACCAACACTGAAGAAATATCAGACAAACTAAATGGGGCTTAAGGCAGATAAGTCTTTTAACCCTGATGGCTTGAATCCTAGGATCCTAAAAGAGGTAACTACAGAGTCACTGAATGCATTAGTTTTAAGTTTCCAAAAATCCTTGGATTCTGGAGAAGTGCCAGAGGATTGGAAAACTGCCAATGTGACAACCCTATTGTAAAAGGGAGGGCGGGAGGCAAAAAGTGAGTAACTATACACCGATTGGCCTAAAATCTATTGTTGGAAAAGTATTGGAATTGAATATTACAAAAGTAATAGCGTAACATTTGGAAATCATAATCAAGCAGTCAGCGTAGCTTCATTAAAGGAAATTGTGACTGA